AGGGATGCTCTAATTATCCATTTGATGAGCATCTCTTAATTTTGCTTTTTTGGATAAAGTATCCCCAAGCCCCCTTGGCCATGTGGGAGGCAAAGCATATCCCACGTGACTTTGGAAAGGAAAGAGGCTTCTTCACCCGCAAACAACTTTCAGAGGAATTTCGCTGCTCTTCGTTTAATCGAGGTGTAAAATGGTTTTTCAACGCCTCTCATTGTTCTTACAAACCAAAGTAGGGCAAACAGGGCGCCATTGATTACCGTACCTCGTGCAAATAGTGACAGATGGGGAGCTTTGCCCCAGGTGACCATCTTGTGTAGTACTTTCTATAGTAACAAGTAATCTTGATCCCCTGTGCATGAAAGAAAGGAAATTTGGACGCCCAGAAAGCGTTCAGATCGCTCTTCGGTGATTATGTGCATGCGTCATTGGACAATCAACTAAAAGGAGGAGGCTAAGAAAAAAACGGACTTATGCCAGTTAACTGCTGCTCCCGAAAGTTTTGAATCTTTATCCAAGGACAACTTTAATGCGGATAGGGACGACAGTGAGTTCTCGGATACAGCAAACAAATCATTTGCGAGGGCTTTGACTTTATATTCTGTTTGGCTCGCAGGGAAACTCCGAATCAGAGTATTAGCTCTAATGTTGTTGAGAAGGGATTCCATTTGTAAGGCAAACAAGAGTGGGGCCAGGGGGCACCCTTGTCGCAAATGAGCGTGTAAGCGAAAACTCCTCTGAGAGCATACCATTTACTAGAACTGATGCTGTCGACTTAGTATAGATGGCTACCACCAATTGCGAAAGGCTTGGCCAAACCCCATCACTTTTAGTGTCGTTAAGACATACGACCAATTAATGTGGTTGTAAGCCTTTTCTACTAACAGTAGCACAACGACGTTGCAGTTGTCATTGTGTATAATCTATAACGTTTCGACCCCAGTCACAATGTTAATGAAGATAGACCTGCCTTTTATGAATGCAACCTGATAAGATTGCACCAAATCCGGTAAATACCTGCTCAGTCTTCTTGCTAAAAGTTTGGCCAAGAGTTTGTAAGAAACATTCAGTATGGAAATTGGCCACCAATTTTGAATTTCGGTCCTATCGCCTTTTTTAAACAGTACCGAGATGATGCCTCTGCGCATACTGGTTGCCAACCTACCACCTATCAATATGTCATTATAAATACCCACAAGGGTTTGGTCTATTGTCTCCCAGATGGTCTGATAAAGTTCTACAGGCAGGCGTTCGTCACCTGGAGATTTACCTTCAGACATAGACTTCAATGCCTTGCTTCCTCTATTGTGATGGGGGGATCAATATCCAATCGTCCATTAGAGGATAACCTTACAGTGGTGTTAAACCAGTGGTCACAGTTTGGGTGGAGGTTGTCCACTATTGCCGCCCCCTGGAGTTTGGAGGTAAGAATGTCTCTGTAGTAGATGGTGGCATACCTGCACAACTCTAATGGCTCTTTGGCCTTGGCCCCAAAGTTGTCGAAGAGGTGGCGTAATTCTCGCATGGGAGCTGATGTTGGAATGATTCCTTTGTCATTCTATCATAGACTGTTAACCTTTTTACCTGCAAGCGCTCATACCAAATTTTTGTTTTTTTCTTTTGCAGGTTATCCCATCCGGTCATCAGCTTAGCCCTCTCTTTGCCTCATACTTCGTTAGAGATCCGGTGCTGAGCCATTATAAACTCGGCGTACTCTATCTTTCTGTGTAGGGCCCGTTCCTAAAAGTCTCTATTAGCAGCCATAATTCTCGAGAACACAGATAGCAGATTGGAGAAGATATGTGAGCCCACTTCCCACCATTCCGCTATGATGGCATAACTACTTCGAGTGAGGTCCCAACTGTGCCAAAAGTCCTTCATCCATGCAACTAATCCTTTAGGTTTTGAGCATTTAAGCAGAAGCAACCTCTACCTCTAACCAAAGAGGATGTCAGAACTGTCAGAATGACCGGTTTATGATCTGACAGGGGCTTTGACCACTCAGAAACGTCCAAAATAGGATTCCAAAGATTTTGTGAAGTTAGGAAGTAGTCCAATCGTCTACTGATAACTCCGACAAACTCCGTATAATTAGAAAACCACGTGTATCTGTCGCAGTCCGGATGGGTCAGGCGGTATGGATCCACTAATTCCAGGTAGCTCATTAAATTTGTCAAAGCCACCTTGTCCTGGGACAAGCTTTTGCTTGCGAAGATTTCTACACATCCAACGATGCATTCCAATCACACGCTACAACCAGTCTATCACACTTCGGGATGATATAGTGCAGATCTTCAGAAAAGGATCTACGCAAAGCTAGGTCGGTAGGAGCGTAGATTGATGCTACAATCCAGTACTGTTCTTGGATCAATAGTTTGATCCAAGGTCGACGGCCCCATAGGTAACGATTTTTGTGTCCAAATTCTTGTGCAGCAATATTCCTACCCCACCCTTTGAACCCACCGCAGGGGACCAGATTTGAGGTCCGTCCCACTAGTTGCCAATGGCATTAGCTTAGTTTCCTGAAGACGAGCAATTTGAATTCCTTTTGTGTGAATCCAAGATTTCAGACGTTCCTTTTTGAAGTTCCCTGATGTATCTCCCAGTCCTCTTAGGTTCCAACTAAGGATTTTGAGTTTACTTATACCTGTAACCTAGCACCCGTGACCTATTGGATTTTAGGAGAGGAGGTACCTATAGGATCTACGGGCCATGGAGCAACCAGGTGAGAGTGGAGAAACGCAAAGCCCAGTTTCTTGTCCTTCGGAAGATGAGAATCGAGATCCAAAAGACACGGCGGATTTCAATGGAGGGATTCGAATCCTACTGAATTCCTGTCTATGCTTCTCAGTGAACCATGCGATTGGGATAAGACGCAAACCTTCCTGTTCTAGGCTTTCCACTTGGCCATCAGCGAAGCGAACATCCATCAAAGGGATAAAGAATTTGATACGTTTTCCAGGGATGTCCGGGTTCTTCGAGAAAATACGAGCCATGATAACATCCGGGAATAACCGAAACATTAATTTGTCCTGGGTAGCAGTGTGCACAAGGTTGGCGATCGCCGGTGGCATTGGTGTATTGGGAGGAGGTAGGCTTACCATGTTCAACGTTGTCCTGAGCTATAAAGGCGATCGTCCAAAAGTTGTTACGAATTGTTGTACAGAAGAAGGGAAGAATCTTGTTCTCGAAGTCTTGAAGTTGGCCCTTGACAAGTGAGACTGAATGTCTTCGCCTTGTAGTCTTGGACCCCGGAGTGCTGATTCCAGGTAATTTCCCTCCGAACGTTGAGATGGCTTGGCCGAGGGTTCCCCCTCCAAGTTACCACCATCTGAAATGAAACTTCCTTCGTGGTCTAATCTCCTTTGCTTGCCCGGTGTGTTGATTCATACCCGAGATGTGGCTGGTTCCGCTCCCAAATGAAGCGCACGTCCAGCCGTAGGTCTTGGCGGAGGGGACAGTCTCATTGACGTATGAGGTATGGCTGAGCCAGTGGGCCGAGGAGCAAGGCATACACCCGGGCCTCTAACCACTGGACCTAATTCCATGTAAGTGGAGAACGACTCTCCCATGGGAGGGTAAGCATGGAGATAAGGAGCAAACGCCGGGGAGTGTGACATCCCTGATGGCACGCCGTACGAAAATCCCGATATACTCCATGGCATGGATACTTCAGGATTCCATGGAATCTCGCTGTGGTTATTGCCATTTGGAGGGGAGGTGAAGATGGGAGGAGCATGGAGTCCAGGTGAGAAAGCAGGATTGTTATGTTGCGAAAACCTGACTATATTTGGTGCTTGGGTGGCAGTGAATGGAGCGGCAGCGCTGGAGGCTGTCTGACCTATCGGGCCTAGCAGCCCTTGGTAGTTACGACTACCGGTAGGTGCCTGCCACAGGCCTCTTGCTTGAGCTTGCGGGTCACCCGACAAGCTTGACGTTGCTTGGTTTTGCTGTCTATTCCCTCTCCGACGCTCTCCTTCTATGTGAAAGAAAGCTCGACACCGTCTGCAGCGAGGAGTCTCAGATGACGCTAGCTTAACTTCAAGGGCATTGCCTTCCGACATATCTATCCATATCTTGTCCTTCATATTCTCTCGTGCTGCAAGGTCAATATCAAATTTGATGTTGACCAGTGTTGGCTTCATTCTATCTTGTTTGGAGGGTGCGAACGTCTCACTGGTCCGATCGCTCGATGCACTTGAGCCTCGAGAAATAAAAAAGCATAAAGAGGGAATTACCTAAACGCTCTCCTCATCTTCTACTTGGCATTGTTGTCCTTCGTCGACCAAGGTTTGAATTCAAAGGCATAGTGGTCAGTGCCTACGGTGAGTTCGACAGACCCTTTGTTCATTAGCCATCTTGCCACCTCGATCGATTTAGCCACATAGGAGACGACGTTTGGTGACTCCACCTTCACTCGTCCTCTTCGAAATGTCTGTGCGTTCAAGCTGCCTTCAAAAGTCTTCCTGTCTTCATATGGCCGTACTATGTCGTCCTTCACGTTCCTCGGAAGAAACCTTGCGTCGACTCTGAAGATGAACGTTACGGTATGTGGTCCTTCAACCAGTTAATTTTGGCTTGATCCAAAGACACGTTGACCTTAAATCTCACCTATCGACCTTCTGTTATCATCTCACCCGGATCTATGTCTGTTGGCATAATGCCCTCTCGTCATAACATACGCGTATCAATTCTCTTAAACGGCCCTCATCTTCATCCACTCCCCAGGGACTTAGGGAGGGGATCTCGCCTGTCTACCTACGCTCTCCTCCTCCCTTGAACACAACATCGTGAAGCCCAAGCGCTAACGGGTGGGAATCGTAAATTAACCGAGTGCTCAGCGTAGCTGCTTGTTATCGAAGGGGCTGTACGGTGGCGAAATAACGCGTCTTCTACATCAACACGTAGCTCAAGACAGGTCCTTCCAGGTGTTCACTCGGGCAGCCGCCATAGCTCCGAAAGAACTATGACCTAACTCAAAAGGAGGGTGACGACGCACCAACCTGACGCGGGCATATCATGGTGGTATGCCGCGGGGCTGAACACTCTGCCGTTACCGACGTCGAAACGCTTGGTCCGAGCGCTATTACGCCGGCGGAAGTGTTCTGGTCGGATCCCCATATCGGTAGTTTAAACTACCGATATTTTTTCCCGCTTCAAAAACAAATACGTGCCTGGTAACTTTTGACGGTTCAGGCAGTGGACCCAAATGGTTGTGGGAACCAGCCAAAATGAGGCCTGTGCCGGTTCGTTTTTCTTTGGTGTGCAGGGTGGTCTTAGGCATGGCATTGATAGCTGAAAAAGCTAGGGAACCACTTCCGCGAGTTTGTATTCTAGAATTGATTAATATAGACAAGGCTTTGCTATGTACCCAGGTCCCTGCATATGTAACTATCGCTAATTTTCCGGCCCCCACGATTTTTCACTCCGCGACGACGACGATCGTCTGCTGATCGTTTGCTCTTAGAAGTTGAACCGTCGCGGGCGGCTCCACGCCAGGGCCTGTACCGGGTCCACACGGCAACGTCGGTACCAAAGCGTGTTACCGACCCTACTGCACGTGATACCGGGGTTGCGAGTGACACGCTACCAATCCGGCGCCGCTACCGGTCCAGCGCAGCTAAAGCGTATAGAAACTACTTTCTGGGGCACGTGCACTGTCGACTTGACGGCACGTGTACGGGACGGCGAGTTAGAGACGACGCCAATTGGACACTCTAAGCTACTCGACTGAGCTACTCTACGCTCCTCTCTGCTACTTTATAGTCGGCGCCGGCGCCACTCTAGAGTCGATGCTTGTTTTTGACACTCAAGCTACTCGACTGAGCTACTCCACACTACTCTGGGCTACTCTAGAGTCGACGCCTGTTTTCGACACTCAAGCTACTCGACTGACTTCTATGTTGCTATGCACCACTACGACTTCGCTCTACGCTGGACACACGCGCACTCGCACATGCACACACGCAAGCGGAGGCAGACACACACGAGCACACACGCACTCATGCACTCACACATACACACACACATACACACGCAAACGTGGTGAGTCCTTGGTCGTTTGTACAATTCATTTTGGGCAGACGGTTGGGGTTCAACCTCCTGATTAGTCGGTGGAAGTCCAACGAAACAGTTCGGCTGACACTCACACATACTCAGACTCACACACATGGAACACCGACACCCACACACACGCACATACACATACACACTCACCCAAGACACTCTCTCTACGTCCTTAATGTTGGACGCTGAGGCTTGAGTTGTGCAGCGTCAAGGCTTTTGAAAGAGCGCACCTTGATGACTGACGGTGAGTTTGTTATTCGTGTTTGTTGCTTTCGTTTTTTGTGATCTTGGAACTATGAGTGAGAGAGTGCATATGTGTCCCCGTGCGCGCGCGTGTGTGTGTGTGTGTGTGTGTGTGTGTGTGTGTGTGTGTGTGAGAGAGAGAGAGAGAGAGAGAGAGAGTACCTACGACCCCTTCCCCCCCAAAAAAAAAGAAAAGCCACCATCGTGTCTTATCTGTACCGATCAGTTTCATACCTTCGATCGGTTTCATACCTGATTCCCAGGTCCATAGGAACCCAAAAATAAGAAACGAATAAATCAAAAAAATGGGTACACATGTGGTAGAGAGAGAGAGAGAGAGAGAAACCCCAACTACCTAGGATGCCTCTCCTCGACCGCCATCAACAGTATTATCTGTCCCCATCAGTTTCATATTTGATCCATGGTGCATCGGGACCACTAAAGAATATAAGTAAAAAATAAAGGAAAACTCGCAAGGGTGCGCCAGACCATCGGAAAAAAAAAGAAGGAAAATTTGGACGAGCGCGTGTGTCGTGCTAGAGAGAGAGAGAGAGAGAGAGAGAGTCCCCCCCTTCCCCCCCCCACGATCAAGTGTAGTATTTGTGTCGATCAGTTTCATATCCGATCCTCTTTGCCCAAACGATCGAGCGCAGTAACTGCTCTGTTCAATTTCATATCTGATCCGTGGTCCAACGAGACCTTTCTCTTTAATAAAAGAAAAAAAAAGCACGCGAGCGCGCGCGCGCGCGCGCGAGAGAGAGAGAGAGAGAGAAAACCTAACCTAACTAACTGTGCGCCTCCCCCCACACATGATCGAGTGTAGTATTTGCTTCGACGAGTTCCATATTGATTTCCCCCCCCACACGATCAAGCATTGTATCTGCTCCGTTTAGTTTCATATCTCATCCATGACCCATCGAAAAGAGAGAGAGAGAGAGAGAGAGAGAGAGAGAGCATCTAGATGTGTATAAGAGACAGCCTTAATAAAACAACAAAAATCACCAAGGCTAAAGCC